GATTGAATATTACCACTGGCTGCAACCAGTGTTTCTTATATCCGCACTAAATCTGTCTGTGCTTCATTCTTCCTGCATGGCTGTGTGGAGGTGTTAATATATGCTTTAGAATGTAAGTGCCATGAAACTATCAGAAAATAACATTTTTGGCCCAGTTCTCTACTGTGGAAATGCACAGAGTCCATCCAAAGGTTCCCAGTCCCTGGGGAGGGTTCCTGAAATACAACTCACCCTGCAATTTCTGTTAGCACAGTTATCTGCTGTTTTTTTAAGTGCACATAGTGAATTTTCAAACATAAAAAGGTAGAATGAGATATTACCATCTCTTCTTTGATTAATGTGTCAGGGCCTCTTTGAAGAAGGCCTGTGAAAATGCTGTGAAGTGTGAGGAGCTATTTTAAACCTTTTATTTGAAACACTGCTTGTGTCTTTTGATAGGTTTCCATCTTATGATTCATCTGCAAGTTTGAACTAAACATAAATAGCTGAATTCATAAAGCCGCGCAGCCTTGTGCGTTGGGTGTTTTTACTTGGTAAATAAGAAAAGACTGCGATTCAAGCGCCTGTGTAAATGGTTATGGGACTGTGTTGATGACATAGTTCACATAAGCAATGACCAAAGTGTCAGTGCCAACCACAGCTCTCTGCAGACTCTCTGCTTTAAAGATCAAACTTAACACTATTTTTGATAAACCTTATAGTTATGTCTGGATCAGGTGACCTTTGCAATAGGTCGAGGCTCCTGGGGGCTTCACATAATGCACTGAGTGTTTCTTTTTCATTCTATGTTTATACACATCCTACATTTAATCATTAGTTCTTATTCATTCTTGGATCTCTTTATTTGTCCGGTCTCTCTCCCCTGATCCCCAGCCAGTCACAACAGATGACTCCCCCCTCCCTGAGTCTGTTTTTTTTACTCCCTTTACTAAAAGGGAGTTTTTCATTCTCGCGGTCTGATTTTTGGGTTTTTCTATTACCGAAGGCTCTTTATCTTACTATATAACGTGCCTTGAGGTGACTGTTGTTGTGATTTGGTGCGATATAAATAAAATTAAAATTATTTGAACACTGAAGAGCCAGGTGATGTAGTTCAGACGTGTGACTGGAAAACCTGGAAACATCCCAGCTGCATACAACTATGTCCCGATTGCAGAAATTCCGGAACGGCTTCATCAGCACAAAGGCTGAAAGCGCTTGGTTTGATTTTACAATGTCTGCACCTTCATGTTATTTTAAATACATACTGGGTGAATAACATCCTCTTTGAACTTTCCTTTGTGTTTGTGTAGGCTCTGCAGACTCTGTGGTAGTTCTCTCTCAACCGCATGAACTGGTGACCATGACAACGGAGGGCCATGCATATGGAGAAGATGTAGTTGCTCTGCTGTAGTCCACCTTCACAACAAACATCACACACTGCGCGTTGCAGCAGCACTGGGCTGACTGCCACAGTGGACTACATATAGATATGTATCTGTAAAAAGATGACTTTCAGACCTGTAGACCCTTGTAGATATTTGTAATTAGCAACCAGTGATGGTTTTATTTTAATAAGCGTGAAATGGCAAAGTTTGTACAAACATTTTTTTT